AGGGGGACAATCACTTCCCTAGCCCTGCTGGCCACACTGTTTCTGATACAAGCCAGGATGCTGTTGGCCTTCTTGGCCACCTGAGCACACTGCTGGCTCATATTCAGTCGACTGTTCACCATCACTCCCAGGTCCTTCTCTGCCTGGCAGCTCTCCAACCACTCATCTCCCAGCCTGTAGCTCTGCTTGGGGTTATTGCGCCCCAGGTGCAGGACCCGGCACTTGGCCTTGTTGAACTTCATGCAGTTGAGCTCAGCCCATTGGTGCGGCCTATCCAGATCCTCCTGCAGAGCTTTCCTACCCTCGAGCAGATTTACACACATCTTTCACCCAGACAGGGATGACCAACAGTGGCTGGAACCGACCCCCCAGGACAGCAAACAAAGCTCCTTTCATTCAGAAAGGACCAACACTCCCTGGCTGCCCTGCAAAGGCTTTGTAGGGAGTTCAAAAGATTTTCCACAATGAACAGTAGGAGAAAACTGAAAGCTTTGTGTCCCACTAGGAATACCCAATGCAGATCCAGGAGTTAGAAAAACATCCACTGAGGAACAGATGCATCTTTTCTGCATTGCACACTACATTTTTACACTGTAGAAGCACCAGTGTGAGAAACACTCCGTAGCCAATAACTTAGGCTCAGGTGAGGATCTCAGTGAAGTAGTAATTTATTCGCGATTGCAATGGCGGGCGCCCCACAAGCAGGAGAGAGCGCATCTACTAGTTCCAAAACACAGTTTATATACCTTTTGATGGCAGGACCCTCCCCTGTTTCCCCACTGAGTGGGTAATCCAGGTTCACAATCTATCTGATGCTTCACAAACAATGCATGGCCTTCAGTTGCTGGCCTGTTAAATTTCAAATTTCTTTTGACATTTTTACTGCTGGAAGTGGTAATGTTTCTTCACTTATCTGACTTGACACCGTGATTTTCACCTAATTGTCCTAAGGAGTCTGGTTGTCTGCATTTTACAAGGTCGCCTGCTAAACTTTCTTATCACTGTAAGCATATCTCAGTACCACATTCCCTCCTTCTAAACAATGTAACTCTGCAAAAACAACATTTCTATTCCCACACCAGGCACCTAAACTGTATTTCTACAAAGTGCACTTAATTCACTGTTTACCGTGTAATTATACTAATGCTCGCATTTATGCTTATTTTCTCGGTGGGGAATGTTTTACTCCCGCTTTTTCTTCCTCCTCTCCAAGCTCCTTTATTCAGGCCGAGGACGACTACTGGCTTCGAATGTAAGATTGCCATCTCCCGGCAGAGGGAAATAAAAAACAATCAAAACAAAACAAAACAAAACAAAAACAACGGTTGCAGCACGGCCCCGGCAGGTGCGGCCGTCCCAGGAGCCCTCTCAGGTCCCCTCACACCCCCTCAGGTCCCGCAGCCCCCGGCCGTTCCCTCACGGCGCCTGAGGGGCCCGGTCGCGCGCACTCCCTCGTGCGACGCTCAACGGTCACCGAGTATCCGCACACAGCCACGGGAGCGGCGCCAGCGATAGAAAGGCGTCAGGCGGCCTTTTCAACGCAGGCGCGGTGGCCAAGTGGTAAGGCGTCGGTCTCGTAAACCGAAGATCACGGGTTCGAACCCCGTCCGTGCCTCGGCGTGTTTGCGCGCCCTGGAGGGGAGATTTCGCCTTCCGACGCTTTTTGGAGGCGGCGCGGAGCCCCCGTCCCCAGACACAAAATGGCCCGAGCCGAGTGAGCTGCAGGGGGTGCGGGCGAAGCACAGAGGAACCGCCGCTGCCCCGACAATGAATGAAGCGCCCTGGAAGGCCGGGGATCGCCTGCCGCCGGTAGAAAGGCAGGAGCCCCCCTTGAGGCGACCAGCTACGTCTGGCGTTAGCCAAGAACACTAAATGCCGCTGAGCATGGGTGACAAGGTTTTTGGGGGGTTGGGTTTATTTCCTCATGTATTCTGCAGCATTGTTGTGTGGAATTAAAAGTGTACAGTTATGGACGAACACAGGTGTTTTGATAACTATTTACATGAGATTTTGTGGAATCTTTTACACTTGGTGAATTCTGTTCATAGGTCAAAATCATACTTCAGGTTGCATTTTGATTTAAATAATAGTGGTAACATTCATTGCATCTCAGGCTTCTTTGTGTGGGCTTATTGTTAAGAAAACAATCAGACTACATTCATTGCATGTAATTAAAATTTAAAATTTTTACACTTAGCTTACTGCCAATATTCGTGAGCCCACAAGCAAATGGGGCCTCACGTGATGAAGCATCCACAAATATGAAATCCTCATGCACACCTTCCAGCTTGGTTTTGAACTCTTCCTACATGTGCAACCAATGACAACACTGCCCAGGCTCCCTGGACAAAAGAAAAATGTAAATTATTAATTTTCAGCAGTGACACTTCCAGCACACAGAACATGCAAAATTACAACCCAGAATGTTCTAAATCAGTTTCTGTTTTCTCAGATATTTCTGCTCATGGATGTGAAGGACAGGGAGTGTCCCTGAAGCTGCTCTCATGGAGGGTTTTCAAATCCAGACAGGAAAATCAAACTCAAGGACAAAACGCATATCTGATAAATGCTGTTTTGTGTTACTGCAGCCTCTGGGATAAGCCGAGAGCAGAGCCACACACACAATACTTGCTTGTTTCTTTAAATACATTTATGAGACTAAACCAGGTACCACAAGAGCTGCAGCTGCATCTCTGCAGCACAACGGCTTGAGGCCTGTGGTTCTGCACTACAGGGCACCTGTATAGAACCTAGGGGTTACATCATGTCAAGATGAGCTTCCCTTCAATATCTGTGGCTTTTGTTGTACCCTGTACTGCAAGTTCACTGACGACATCACCTCCGTTTCAAGATTGATCTGTAGTGTTTCTAACATTAATAAACTCCCCAATTTAAAAAATCCTAAAGATACCCCTGGATTCACTCAGAAATGGTGTTCTTAGTGTCCAGGCAGGATGAGGAGGTGTGTTAATCTAGGAAGCATAGCAGTGATGACAAGCCATGCCACGCTGAAGCAATGTTATCCTTTTGGTGGGGCTGGGGACCCAGGTTTGTGGGTCCTCCAATTGCACGGTTGGCCTCTGCTCATTCCTCTGGGCTTGTGGTGAACCAACAGGGAGCAGAGCAATGTTTCCACGCAGTGCAACTCGCAGAAGGACACTGCCAGCAGCAGAGTGGGGAGTGGCATTATGTGTGCATCCTGTCACACTGTGGCATGGGTGTCAACCACCCAAATTGGCATTCTCAGTCTCATCGGTGAACATAGAAGGCAAAGCAAATTCAGTGTCATTTCATCACCTGTGTTCTTTTAACAGTCTCGTGCTGCCTGAGTTAATTGAATTTACTCATGACAACCAGTATGACCAACAGAGGACAGCACATCCATTTCTTTCAATGATCAAAGATCCAGAGCTTGAAGCTGCCATTCACTTTTCACTCAGGAAATGAGAGTGACTGGAGGAGGAGAGCGGCATGCCACAAATAAGCCTGCCAGCTTAAAAAGGCCTTTTTGCAATTAACTGGAGCTGGTTTGAATTCCAAGAGATTACTTCCAATAAATCTACCTCAACCCCAGCCTTACTGCTACCTAAGCACCATGGGTATGTCTCTGCTCACTGGGGCTGGGTTTTCATGCGGTTTTTCAGGGAGCGCTGGGGAACTGGGTAAAACATCCTCGAGAGTCAAAGCGCATTTAGGACTGCTGGGTGACATCTGCTAATTCCCCTTCAAAACTGCAGATGGACAAGGTGTCCATCACCGAGTTTTGATTAATTTTTTTTATAAAATAAAGATGTAAAGCCAAACTCAGGTGGTCTTATTGCTTCTGATTTGGAGGCAGAGAAGACTTTGCCAGTCATAATGAAATTCAAGGAACAAAACCAAGCATTTTGTGTGGCTAAGGGAGATTTCATTACAGGAATTCAAATAACCTGCAAGAGGTGCGCACATTGAAATCCATTATCTTTCCCCAAAAGCTGGCTATTGTGTTTTATATAGCAACCTTTTCTATAAAGGTTGCTGAATAAATAATGCTTTATTAGAAATGCATTGTCATCTTTATAGAATTAATAGCATATAATGAATTTTTTGTGTTAGTGCTTTGCAAACCTTAATTACATTTCTGCTTCCTATGAAATGTAAGAAATTGATTTTTATTGAAATGATTGATAGGACTAAATAAGGACTGGGTGTTAGGCTCAAGCAGAAAGCAAATACAGAGCTTTAGGAGATATACAAAGAATAACAGAGGCTGGTGCACAGTATGCAGGTCCACTGCAAGTACACATCCACATTGCCACTCTTGGCCCAATCCTGTGAATTGTTAAGCAGAATTAATTAACAGACTAAGCCAACAGTAAGGCCATGGGGACTGACAGTGCTCAGCTGTTCTTGGTATCAGGGCCTGTAAATAAAAGCCAGCCTACAAAATTCTTGTTCATGTGATCAGGGATATCATACACATCTACTGCAATCACATGAATTATTCACACTGGTGTAGCTTGAAAGATGTAACCCACAAAGCCTGTTTAAAATAACACGGGAGCATTAATTAGTGTTCCTGGGGCACATGGAGGTGTTATTACTATTTGGCCCGTTTTTCACTCATACCCATGTTTCTTTTATTTGCTGTGTGCACAGGGCTGACATGGGGAAAGGAAGGAAAGTAAATGCAGGAAATAGACATCTATAAACATTGGTCAAAAATGAGGAAAGGGGGTTACTGATTAGCTTTCTTCCCATATAAAGCTCCTAGATCTTATTGCAGAAATATAAGTTAACTGATAACCATTCTTTTATTTAGCATTATCTGATCAGAGAATCATGAAAAGCACTTTATTGCTCACTTGATTTTTTTCTCCCTGTGCTGGAAGCCCTCTGCAGGAAGCAAAGCTGAATTTCACAAATCTTCCCTTTCTGACGTCTCCCGAATTTCTAGGAATGCCCCTTCCCTCTTACTATATTTGGAGGTAGTTTCTAGGAAAAAAAAAAAAAAAAAGACAATTTTCTGGCCCCACCACCGCAGCTCAGGAGCCCGGGCCCGGCAGATTTGGGGAGCCCTTGGCTGCTCACCTTTGTGGCAGGGCTGCAGGAGCGAGCACGGGAGGAAGGGAAGGGGAGAGGTGTCTTTGTGGCAGCCAGGTGTGAACATCTGCACTTATTCCTTTGGTCTGCCTTTTTTTTTTTTTTTTTTCCCCTGCACTTTTATTCTTTTTTTCAAAGAAAGAAGTGCTTAAGGGAAAAAAAAAAAAAAATCCCCCCCACCCCCGCAACCCTCACTTTCTGGATTTTTTTATTATTTTTTTTTCCCCGTCTGTTTCTCCCCCTCCCCTCGCTGTGGCCTCTTGTTTAGCTCGTGGCGTGACCGTGATGAAGAAATGTTTCTGGGCGCCTGGCAGAGGCGATCTTTTTTATGTAATGAGTCAGGATTTTGCCAACGGAAGAAGCCGGCCGCCGACCGAAGGGCTACTGCCTCCCTGCCGAGCTCGGCACCCCGCCGGGCCGGGGCCGGGGCCGCCCGCTCCCCCGAGACCCGCGGTAAGATGCGCACTTCTCCCGCGGGGCCCCGCTCTCCCCTCAGGACTCAGGTGGGGCCGAGCCGCCGGGGCCGCGCCCTGCCGCCGGCCTGGGGCCGCTGCCCGCCACCTGGGCGGCCGCTGGGGGTTGCAGCCTACCTGCCCCGGGCCGCCGGGGGGCCGCCGGGACCCGCCACACCTACAGGTGCCGGCGGCCCCGTGCCCGGCCTGAGGGGAGGCTGCAGCCCGCGCGGCGCGGCCCCGCCTCAGGGCAGCGGCGGGAGCGCGGCCGGGACTAAGCCGGGCTGTTCCTTCGCCTTCTCCTCCTTCTGCTTCTCCCGTTCCCTCTCCCGCCCGCCAGCGCTGCCTCGTTCCCTCAGGAGGTGTTTCCGAGCACGCAGGGTCGGCAGGGACGGACGGCGTTCATCGGGATTACCGAAAGCAGCACAAATGTAACAGTGTTTTTTTGTTGTTGTTGTTCAAGCGCGGCGATTGGTTTTTGACGTGACTGACAGCATTTACCTGTCTCCAAGTGGGTTTATAATGAGTAAAACTTGGGTTTATTTAGAAGTTCGGTAGGGATTGTAAAGGAAGGATTTAGCTGTGTGTTCCTTTAGGCTGCAGATCTCTGCTTTTCTTTTCTTTTTTTCTTTTTTCTTTTTTCTTTTTTTTTTTTTTAAATAAAAAGTTCTTAAAGCTGGGGATAGTCAGATTTGGGCACCCAGCTGAATACTCTAAGCTGGCATCGTCAGTAGGAAGTGACCCATTTCGGGTAAAGCGAAAGTACAGTAGTGTGCTATGCAGATAGCGAAGATAGAATAATGTCACACATCTCTATAATGTTTCAACTTTACTTTGAAATACCAAGGAACAGACAAACGAGTTGATACTTTGAAAAGATCTTAATAGATACTTTGAGTGTTGGGACTATTAAATCCCTATGTTATTCTGGGTGAGTTCTGTGTCATTTTGTAGCCACTTGCAGAAGGTGCTGCTTAGCTAAACAAACAAATCATAAAATGGGAATAACAGCAAATAATAACTGCTAGCAACTTCTGCTGTCCAGTTAGTTGAAGGAGTGTATACCATGACTTGGCTACAACGTCCTCTTTTATCAGTCCAAAAATCAGCTCCTTTGTAAGCACTGATCCCCTCAGTTGATTGGGCATATCTTACAAAAATACTTTGCTTACGAATTGAATCTCTGAAGGTTGTGGTTCCAGAGTCGGGGTTTTGGGGGCAAGATGAGCTTATGTTTTATCCAACTGGCCCACAAAGTCCCGCTTTTGGTGGTCACTTTTTTCTGCAAAAGAAACCAGTGCATTATGGCTCTTACAGCGGATACTAACTTTAGCACTAAACTACAGCTGTGCTCAGAAAGCTACTCACTACTGCACGCTTTAAATAAGTAGCAATATCCTAACTTTACCGGTGACATCAGCAGTAAGAAGTGAACAGAAAATACTAGCATTCCCCAAAGTTAAAGAGAAATAGTTTTCTAAGTGTTGTTGTAGCCTGTAAAACTTTTTTTTTTTTTTTTTTTTTTCCTTAAATACCCAGCAAAGGCAAAGAAAAAGTTATGTTTCAAAGGGTGATTATTTGACGTAAGTAAATTGGGAGAAAAAAGAAGACTTTCCTAGGAAAGACAGGTACCTTAAACCTTGAAACCAACATACAGTCCTTGGGAACATGCATGGTGTCAGTCCCCTCCTCGGGTCTTCTGCTTACAAAAGGTTGCAGTTTTGATGCCTCTCTTCAACTGGCTTTTTTTTTTTTTTCATTTTTGTTTTTGCTTGTTTTTTACTTGTGTGCCCATGTGCTGACATGTGCATGGTCTGTATCTATAAATCGATATAAAGATTACTAATTGCTGTGCTGAGAGTAGTTGTGCAATATATTTTTATGAGTAAGTGTGAGCTTGGTAAAGCTGTTCAATTCCACACTACTCTTTATTTTTTGCTATCGATAGCCTGAAGAATCTCAGAATAGTGTTTACTTCTAAATAATGTAGTTTTACTTTTTTATGGGATTCCAATAGATGTTTACCATTTATAGGTAAGCTGAGCTTTCTTGAGGTTCCAAATATAACGTACATATATTTAAGACAGAATGAAACACATGTTAAGTGATATTGTGTGAGAGAGTATAATGGCTCATATACAGAGCAAGCACACACAGGAGCATCATCTTGGTTGGTGTAAATGTGCCTGTAATAGCTTTTACAATTTATACTAGCTAATCACCTACTTAAGTTACACATGAGTATCTAGACATCGTATGCGTGTTATGCTTGCGGTCGGATTCATTTTAAGCGCTGATCTACTCAAACCTGATTCAATTCGATTACTTCAAAAAGGCCTGGAAATTCAGCTGGAGTTCCACAGCAGTGCTCTGCTAAAAAATTTGTTGGTATGTGCTATCTCACATGACTGTATGCAGGATCTGTGTACACAGGCAAATGGATATTGTACTGAATTATCAGTATTTTTCTATGGAATTCTGGCCTTTTACAATTTATAGCTATATAATCACTATACATATGAAATAGGACATACCAAAACCTCAGTGCAACAAATTACTCACTTGTTTAAAAGTGAGATCTACCTTGGGAGAGCTTAGGTCAGAATTGTGCTGCTAACATGCCTTTTAGCCACTATTCTGCATGAAATAATGCAGCTCAAAAGCAGCATTTATGAGAAGGTTAAATTTTCAGGAACCAATTGAGCTATGAATTTAACTGTAGAAATATCTTTTTTTTTTTTTTTCTTTAATTTTAGTACTTAGTTTGTGAATACACTACAGATATAGCCAGTACTACAAGCTGTCAGATTTGGACTGGTTTGACTCCTATGGCCTCTTCGCTAGTCTTCTGAGAATACTCTGCTCTGCTACTTGTGAGCTTTTTCTTTAAAGCTCTTAAATTGGAACATGTAATTTTGTGCAGCTATCTTCAGTAAGAGGTGCTATACACCCCATTAACCAGCTGTGTTTAAAAATCCTTTCAGACAGGTTCTCTTTGATTCTTTATTGATGATACATAAAATTCACAGGTATTCAGTTGAGCACAATTAATATAGACATGGAATTAACTATTTAACTGACTATTAAGCACTGTTTAAGAACGTGGTTATAGTTCTGCAGGCCTTTCTCATCCAAAAATTTTAGTTACATTCTTTCCCATTACTAAGGCTATAGGAAGAGTTCCTGTTTCTGTCTCAATGGACTGTTTTCTGCTCAGATGGATGCCACACATATCTCTCAAGCTTTAAATGTATGTTCACCTTATGTGTGTTAACCAAATATTAATGATGATTGGACAAAATAGTGACTGATCCCCTACACACCTAGGCTGTAAGAGTGTGATCTCTTTCCATCACGCTGGGTTTTCCCACAAAGTTTGCTTGCAGGATTGGGTGGCAGCCTCAGAGATGTGACTCCTGGAGTGCACTGCACACCCAGAGCATTAATAATTAATGCCTGGGATCGGTTTATTTGAAATGGGGGGGGGGGGGGGTGGGGAAAGTATGTTTGGAGTCAAAATTAATTTTCCTCAAGATAAAAACTGTCATGAATTATTGAAAAAATACTTTGAAAGATTAATTATGTATTGCATTCCTCATTTATAAAATTGAAAACCCTACTAGCTATGTTTTCTGATTAAAATAATTTTAAATATACATTTTTAGAATGACTTTTCAGTATTTAAAGCAAAACTTAAAGCTTATAAAACAGCTTACAAATACTGAATCAGCAGAGGATTATCAAGTGGCCTGATCTGTTTACTTTTGAAACCAGTGGACACGTTTTACCAAAAGTAGTGAGATCAAGATCTCCACCAGAACCTGCTGGCATCATTTTGGGGATTGCTCTGTGGTCTGAGTCTTCTGAAAGCAGGGCCTCAGCCTTTGACATTTCCTGATCTTGTGTTACAACAGAAAAATTTCATGACTCCTCTCTGACACATGCATTGAAAAGGAGAGGACGATAATGACCCTGAGGTTGGAAACTCATGACCTGCAACAACTTAAAATTTTGCCTTACTAAAGGCTACAAGATCAGCTGTCCCTTCCTGTGACGTTATCCATAGTTTTTCCAGGGCAAGAACGCAGATGTCTGAGATGCGAGTCTTACATTATTCCTTGTTTTTCCCTCCCAATTATAACATTGTACATCAGCAGTGCTGTGCCTGATGCCACACAGAAAATCAATGTGAACACATATTTAAAACATATCTTTTAAAGGTGTCATCCCCAAAGTCTTCCTTATTTGCCTTAAAAATCATATTTAGCAGGTTAGGAAGGAAAAAAAAAATATTGCTATGACTTGGAAGCTACACCCGTAGTGGAAGAAGTGGTAGAAAAGTGGTTACATTACATGCATAAAGACACTTCAGACCATGCAGCTTGACAATACAAACCTCCTGGTGAAATCAGTGACTTTAATGAATTCAAACACTTGCCCTGTCCACAGTGCAATCAGTTAATAATTACACAGACCTCATTGAAATGTCATATGCTTGTCTCTGTCAACATTAGGGAATTTGTTAAGGCACAAACATGGAAAAAAGAAACAAAGATTCAGCTTTCTTTGCCTGTTGTCACAACACCCAAATAGTTTCTGCTTACAAGGCTTCAGAGGAAGGGTGACGTTTATGTGGGTGACCTGTGAACGCATAGGTGCCAACTCAGGTTGTGCATTTTTTACCTTGCAGATACACATTGATAACTTTAAGCAAAGCTATTTCCAGCTTTTCTGTTAATACTTCTGTAATATTTTAATTTAGCTGTTAATGGGAGAGGCTGCAATTCCCCAGCGTAATGTAATATTGATGCACTTTTGCTATTTTAAGTAGCTCAGCTTCAGTCAGACAGTCCAAATCCTTTTAAGGGATTTATGGATTTTTATATGAAGTGACATAACACAGGGGCTAGACATCAACTTTTGAAAGTAATAGTTTTTCTTTTGTTTTGTAGATCAGGAGAATTAAAATAAAACAAGAAAGATAAAAATAAAAGAAAACAA